CTTACACCATTTGGAATTGTCTGGATGAGAATAATAGCATGGATAAGTCTTAAGGTATTAATACCATATATTAAATTCATTATTCAGTAATAATTACACATAGATGCAACTTATCTATCAACATTGATCAAATAAAATGAAAATTATAAAAGATAATGTAAATTAGTTTTAAAACATATATTTCCCAGGACTCATTTGATACATTGGTTACTATAAACTTTGTTTCACATTGGAAGTTTCTATCAAATTCTTTCAGTGATATGACAACATATGGTTGAATGATAATGTGTAAGGATATGGGGTGACAGGGTATAATGGGTAATTGATTTAGGATAGAAGTAAAGAGCGGGAAGGTTTGTTAGGCTGTTCGAGGGAGAAATAGAGTATAAATAAGCCTTTTGGTAATTCTGTGGGGGGATTATTGAAGATTATTTTGTAAATCTGGACATTGGCCAGAAGAGGGGGATTAGGCCTCCGTTAGGGTTAAGAGGAGGATTAGGCCTCCATTAACACTATCAGTGTACTTTGTTCTCAATTTTAATACAGAAATCCATTCTTTCTTTGTTCTTTTGTTGACAGAGAGCGTTGATAGCTAGGTTTCCAACTCAGAAACCTAACATAATGTAAATTAGTTTTAAAACAGTAGGTCAAAATTAAACTTTCCACTAATCATTTGTACCATCATGCTTATATTATGAACTGTTGGACTAACCATTTAAAAACTTCTGAAAGAGATAGATAAGAAAAAATTGAAATGAGTTTTTCCATAAGTTCAAAATTAGCTTATGCATCAACTAATTTGTAGAAGTTCTTTCATATACCTTCTCTAAATTTTCATTTTTTTTATTTTACACAAAAGTCAAATTAACTTTCAGAGAAGCTCGTCTCATTTTTTCTAGTCTTGGTCTATCCTCTTAAACCCATTTCTTTCTAAATCTTAGAAACAAGTTTAATAGTTCTGATGCCTCCCTCTATACCCACAACTTACAAGGACCTCCTAAGTGCTAGTTTACTTAGATTACTTAATAAAACATAATAATGAGTACCAAACCAGCAATGTAAGATGAACTAATAAAATCAAGCACAAGTCTCAAACCAAATAAATCATATAGATACCGAATCTACAGCTTCTAATTTCATGCCAGTAGATCGAATAAACCGTCTCAGTTCAGGATCTACATGTTGAATGTTCCTTCCACAGCCAAGAATCAAAATCTCTGGCAAATAATTTTTCCAAGAGTCAGTGAATATAGATCAAAAGCAATTAAATAGGCAATCACAAAGTTCAATTAATAATATATTAAGAAAAGGCAATGTGTTGAAATTAACTAAAAGTAATTAGCTGTATATGGAACAATATATCAAAGATAAGAAAAGAGAAATAGAGATAGGACACAACAAATTGAAATGATATTACTTCTACTAATTTGCATTATTTGAGAGAGATATGTATCCACTTTAAGGTCCTAACTACAACAAACAATATACATATTTACAATGAAACTAACTTCAATGTATTGCATGTATAGGATCCACATGTTTTAAGTATGTCAACCACTTCTAAAGTGATTTAGAAATTAAAGCATGCATTCATTAATTATTCATTCAGGGAATAAAAGATTATGAAGTGTCCTACCTAATCCCAAAAGGGAAATATAAAAGGAAAAGTAGAACTTCACCAAAATTTGGGAGAAACAGAATGTTAAGCAAAAAAAAAATGGATGTCAAAACTAAAAAATCCTACCTGGAATAGGGCGAATAACTTGGAAGAGTGACAAGCTGTAAGAAGAGACAAGATAACATATTAGAGCAAGATAACATAATGCTTTTTCCCCTAAACAGAGATGAAACTAGAAAGTTATATTGCATTTACTTCTTGTCGCTTCTCTGCATGTTTCATTACATAACTATTACACTACGATGCACACATCCTTTAAACTGGAAGTAGAATTAATAATTGCCAATTATCAGATGTTATCATCCATTTATCGTGTGCTCAATTCTGAGGATATACAAAATAACGATTCAAGAAGGATAATAAACACATTATAAATACCCTCCCTCTACAAAGGAATCCAAGTAATGCAATTTAAAAGTGGTAATCAAAAGATTAAAGAAAACAATGGGTCCTACAAATACTTTGGGAAGAAAAGGAATGCATGAGAGAAAAGCAAGCAAATACAAAATACAGAAAATAAAGAACCACAGAGAATCAGAAGTGTTCGTCATCCATGCACAAAGCACCATCAGTTTACTTCCCAGCTGTTCACATGCCAAAACATGCAAGAGCTTGACATGTCATGTCACTTGGTGTTGAATACATTTTGACACAGGTGTTTGCCTTGCAAGTTCTTCATTCATTCCTGATTTTGGAAGTTTTATCTCAAGCTAACCTATGCAAGTCATAGTTTTGCCAATGGTGCTTTTGCCTAGTTCTCAAGTTCAGATCTAAAAGTTGTTTTAAGTTTCATTTATGTATGTTCCACACTTGTGGCTACTTTTTTGCACGATAGTACTAGTGATTTGCTTATTCCTTTGTCCACAGAAGTATTTCACAATTCTCCTTTTGATTTAAGAGTGGTGTTCTCGGTTAAGCTCTCATTGTGAGGCTTCCAGTGCACTGGTGTAGCATAGCAAGGTTTAAGGTTTCTTCTGGTAGTCATCTGCCAGCATACTAGATCAATTTCATTACAGTAAGACAGTGGCCACTACCTAAGTTCTTATAGCATGTTCGTGCACATGATTCACTCATGTTGCAACCATTTCAAAATGCCATTTTGTGAGAGGCAACAATTTCTAGCTTTTAGTGGAAATTCCGTTTACAGGTTTCAAAACTGATAAAGAAAACACTGACAGATTGACTATCGGTTTATAACCTTTGTTGCTTCATTATTTTCTGCTTATAGAAATGTTAAGGTTGTATACATACATGGAAGTTCAGTTTTTTTCTTCTATTTTTCTTCAAACTTCAAAGGTAAATTGGAAACCTTGGACTTGAATCAATAAGGCAGCACAGTTAACACTTCTTTCTTCAACTTTAGGCGTAAAGGATCAATTTCAGGACAAACACTAACTGTTCAAGAAACGATAAAATACAACAGCTTCATTCATATATAGGGGTTTAGAGGAACAGGAGAATGCATAAATGCTTATTTGAATAGAAGTGCTGCTAACAAAGATAAGGAAGAAGAGACAAGGAACATAGAACAAACAAACCTATCGGCTGTGATCTCTGAAAACTTCTTAGGTTTCCAAGACATGAGCAAATTTCCAACACAAAGCAAGCTTCCTTCATATTCAACCCCATTTACAGTAAACCCCGTATCATTATACCTAAACAAATTGAAATAAAAAAATAATAATAATTTACACACATGTTAAGTCCCTGCAAAAATCATATGCTACAAGCCCATTTCACAATCAATTAAGTCTATTACTTGAACCCAATACTGAAAAAATTGAAAATTTAAAACACCCTACTTTCAGAATGAGAAGAAAAACCCCAGAAAGGCAGAAAGTAACAGAGAAATTGCAACCAAGCAAAGTCGATGCATCAAATTACCTATCATGTCACCATGTTGTTTGAGAAAATTCTACAAAACCCATTTCCCTTTCACTTTTTTTTTTTCTAGAACCTCATTAAAAATTCAAAATTTTAAACACCCATACCAGAATGAAGAAAAAATGAACAGAAATTACACCCAAGTCCCTAAGTCCAGTTACTTGAGAAAATTCAAGAAAACCCATTTCACATCCAATACTCTTCCTCGTACCCTAAATTAACAGAAGAAGAATAAGAAACTAAAATTTAAAACACCCCATTTCAAAAATGAAAAACAAGGAACAAAAATATTACAATCAAGTTCATTCCCTGCATCAAGTTATACATCCGGTCACCATGTTATTTGAGACAATTGCAGAAAACCCATTTTACATTCAACACTCTTCCTCAAAGCCCACATGAAAAAAACCTAAAATTTAAAACTTTCCATGAACAGAAAACAAAAGGGGAAGATGAAATTGGAGAAAACCCATTCTACATTCAACTCTCTTCCTCAATCCCTACAAGAAAAAACTAAAATTTAAAACTTTCCATGAACAAAAAACAAAAGGGGAAGATAGGTTGGTACCAACCCTTGAAATCGGAGCTGGTCTTCGGGGACTTGATCGATGAGGTTGATCTGATCGTACAAAGAGAAAGCGCGTCGAAGAGAGGGTAACGCGTTGACATGGCTGTGAGGCTTTAATGGTTCTTTCCGAAGAGTGCGTAAAAGGGTTGGAAGTGCAGATACTGCTCTTTGCCTAACCGCCATGCCTTGTGAGTCTTGCTCTTTCCAGCACCAAACACTCAGTTCTTCTCCACCCTTCCCTCAAGCCATTTTCATTTTATTATTGTTTGTTTAATTACATGATTGAAGAGTTTAATTATTCTATCACCTGCATGACCATAATCGGTGTAATGTGAAATTATCTAAAAACACGACAACTTTATTATTCAATAAGTTTATTTTTTTTTNGTGTACTTTGTTCTCAATTTTAATACAGAAATCCATTCTTTCTTTGTTCTTTTGTTGACAGAGAGCGTTGATTTCCAACTCAGAAACCTAACATAATGTAAATTAGTTTTAAAACAGTAGGTCAAAATTAAACTTTCCACTAATCATTTGTACCATCATGCTTATATTATGAACTGTTGGACTAACCATTTAAAAACTTCTGAAAGAGATAGATAAGAAAAAATTGAAATGAGTTTTTCCATAAGTTCAAAATTAGCTTATGCATCAACTAATTTGTAGAAGTTCTTTCATATACCTTCTCTAAATTTTCATTTTTTTTATTTTACACAAAAGTCAAATTAACTTTCAGAGAAGCTCGTCTCATTTTTTCTAGTCTTGGTCTATCCTCTTAAACCCATTTCTTTCTAAATCTTAGAAACAAGTTTAATAGTTCTGATGCCTCCCTCTATACCCACAACTTACAAGGACCTCCTAAGTGCTAGTTTACTTAGATTACTTAATAAAACATAATAATGAGTACCAAACCAGCAATGTAAGATGAACTAATAAAATCAAGCACAAGTCTCAAACCAAATAAATCATATAGATACCGAATCTACAGCTTCTAATTTCATGCCAGTAGATCGAATAAACCGTCTCAGTTCAGGATCTACATGTTGAATGTTCCTTCCACAGCCAAGAATCAAAATCTCTGGCAAATAATTTTTCCAAGAGTCAGTGAATATAGATCAAAAGCAATTAAATAGGCAATCACAGCGTTCAATTAATAATATATTAAGAAAAGGCAATGTGTTGAAATTAACTAAAAGTAATTAGCTGTATATGGAACAATATATCAAAGATAAGAAAAGAGAAATAGAGATAGGACACAACAAATTGAAATGATATTACTTCTACTAATTTGCATTATTTGAGAGAGATATGTATCCACTTTAAGGTCCTAACTACAACAAACAATATACATATTTACAATGAAACTAACTTCAATGTATTGCATGTATAGGATCCACCTGTTTTAAGTATGTCAACCACTTCTAAAGTGATTTAGAAATTAAAGCATGCATTCATTAATTATTCATTCAGGGAATAAAAGATTATGAAGTGTCCTACCTAATCCCAAAAGGGAAATATAAAAGGAAAAGTAGAACTTCACCAAAATTTGGGAGAAACAGAATGTTAAGCAAAAACAAAATGGATGTCAAAACTAAAAAATCCTACCTGGAATAGGGCGAATAACTTGGAAGAGTGACAAGCTGTAAGAAGAGACAAGATAACATATTAGAGCAAGATAACATAATGCTTTTTCCCCTAAACAGAGATGAAACTAGAAAGTTATATTGCATTTACTTCTTGTCGCTTCTCTGCATGTTTCATTACATAACTATTACACTACGATGCACACATCCTTTAAACTGGAAGTAGAATTAATAATTGCCAATTATCAGATGTTATCATCCATTTATCGTGTGCTCAATTCTGAGGATATACAAAATAACGATTCAAGAAGGATAATAAACACATTATAAATACCCTCCCTCTACAAAGGAATCCAAGTAATGCAATTTAAAAGTGGTAATCAAAAGATTAAAGAAAACAATGGGTCCTACAAATACTTTGGGAAGAAAAGGAATGCATGAGAGAAAAGCAAGCAAATACAAAATACAGAAAATAAAGAACCACAGAGAATCAGAAGTGTTCGTCATCCATGCACAAAGCACCATCAGTTTACTTCCCAGCTGTTCACATGCCAAAACATGCAAGAGCTTGACATGTCATGTCACTTGGTGTTGAATACATTTTGACACAGGTGTTTGCCTTGCAAGTTCTTCATTCATTCCTGATTTTGGAAGTTTTATCTCAAGCTAACCTATGCAAGTCATAGTTTTGCCAATGGTGCTTTTGCCTAGTTCTCAAGTTCAGATCTAAAAGTTGTTTTAAGTTTCATTTATGTATGTTCCACACTTGTGGCTACTTTTTTGCACGATAGTACTAGTGATTTGCTTATTCCTTTGTCCACAGAAGTATTTCACAATTCTCCTTTTGATTTAAGAGTGGTGTTCTCGGTTAAGCTCTCATTGTGAGGCTTCCAGTGCACTGGTGTAGCATAGCAAGGTTTAAGGTTTCTTCTGGTAGTCATCTGCCAGCATACTAGATCAATTTCATTACAGTAAGACAGTGGCCACTACCTAAGTTCTTATAGCATGTTCGTGCACATGATTCACTCATGTTGCAACCATTTCAAAATGCCATTTTGTGAGAGGCAACAATTTCTAGCTTTTAGTGGAAATTCCGTTTACAGGTTTCAAAACTGATAAAGAAAACACTGACAGATTGACTATCGGTTTATAACCTTTGTTGCTTCATTATTTTCTGCTTATAGAAATGTTAAGGTTGTATACATACATGGAAGTTCAGTTTTTTTCTTCTATTTTTCTTCAAACTTCAAAGGTAAATTGGAAACCTTGGACTTGAATCAATAAGGCAGCACAGTTAACACTTCTTTCTTCAACTTTAGGCGTAAAGGATCAATTTCAGGACAAACACTAACTGTTCAAGAAACGATAAAATACAACAGCTTCATTCATATATAGGGGTTTAGAGGAACAGGAGAATGCATAAATGCTTATTTGAATAGAAGTGCTGCTAACAAAGATAAGGAAGAAGAGACAAGGAACATAGAACAAACAAACCTATCGGCTGTGATCTCTGAAAACTTCTTAGGTTTCCAAGACATGAGCAAATTTCCAACACAAAGCAAGCTTCCTTCATATTCAACCCCATTTACAGTAAACCCCGTATCATTATACCTAAACAAATTGAAATAAAAAAATAATAATAATTTACACACATGTTAAGTCCCTGCAAAAATCATATGCTACAAGCCCATTTCACAATCAATTAAGTCTATTACTTGAACCCAATACTGAAAAAATTGAAAATTTAAAACACCCTACTTTCAGAATGAGAAGAAAAACCCCAGAAAGGCAGAAAGTAACAGAGAAATTGCAACCAAGCAAAGTCGATGCATCAAATTACCTATCATGTCACCATGTTGTTTGAGAAAATTCTACAAAACCCATTTCCCTTTCACTTTTTTTTTTTCTAGAACCTCATTAAAAATTCAAAATTTTAAACACCCATACCAGAATGAAGAAAAAATGAACAGAAATTACACCCAAGTCCCTAAGTCCAGTTACTTGAGAAAATTCAAGAAAACCCATTTCACATCCAATACTCTTCCTCGTACCCTAAATTAACAGAAGAAGAATAAGAAACTAAAATTTAAAACACCCCATTTCAAAAATGAAAAACAAGGAACAAAAATATTACAATCAAGTTCATTCCCTGCATCAAGTTATACATCCGGTCACCATGTTATTTGAGACAATTGCAGAAAACCCATTTTACATTCAACACTCTTCCTCAAAGCCCACATGAAAAAAACCTAAAATTTAAAACTTTCCATGAACAGAAAACAAAAGGGGAAGATGAAATTGGAGAAAACCCATTCTACATTCAACTCTCTTCCTCAATCCCTACAAGAAAAAACTAAAATTTAAAACTTTCCATGAACAAAAAACAAAAGGGGAAGATAGGTTGGTACCAACCCTTGAAATCGGAGCTGGTCTTCGGGGACTTGATCGATGAGGTTGATCTGATCGTACAAAGAGAAAGCGCGTCGAAGAGAGGGTAACGCGTTGACATGGCTGTGAGGCTTTAATGGTTCTTTCCGAAGAGTGCGTAAAAGGGTTGGAAGTGCAGATACTGCTCTTTGCCTAACCGCCATGCCTTGTGAGTCTTGCTCTTTCCAGCACCAAACACTCAGTTCTTCTCCACCCTTCCCTCAAGCCATTTTCATTTTATTATTGTTTGTTTAATTACATGATTGAAGAGTTTAATTATTCTATCACCTGCATGACCATAATCGGTGTAATGTGAAATTATCTAAAAACACGACAACTTTATTATTCAATAAGTTTATTTTTTTTTTAAATAGTAAAAATTACTTATCATTTTATAATAGCACTAATATTATTTATTTTAATTGTTTAAGATGTGAAGACAAGTAAGATTACTAATAAAATAACAAGTACTTAATTCGTTAAAGGAAAAATTAAATAATACACAGTCAATTGGGTTTATTAATTAAAATAATGTTTTAAAAAGTTATGTAATTAATCAATTTGCATGTAATACTTTTATATAAATTTAAGAAAGTTTATATCTATGTATCAAATATCCATACAAAACTTATATGATTTTTTCAAGCACTTGTCTATATGAAAATTTTATTAAGAAATTGGTAACTAGTCATTTTTTAGGGATAAATTTGCGCATTTATATATATAAAAAAAAGATAAAAAAAAACTAACCAAAAACCTTAAATCAACTAAAATGGAAAAGGGGTAAACAAAACAGAACAGGTGAAAGTAGAATAAACAACAACACCAACAACAACGTTAAATGGCTTATTATTCTTCTTCTTCCTCTCGTTTGTTGTTGCAATTACAGAGTTCTTCGCAACTAATGTTACGTCTCTCACCCTTTCTCGCTTCTTCTCCTCCTTCTTCTTCTTCTCTCTCTTTCTCCGCAAACTGCCACGTGTCCTCTTCAGCTCAATCCACACTCCAACCGGCACATCAACGAAGCTCAGAAGTGGTGGCATTGGAATATGCTGACCTCAATCTCTCTTACAACTTGGTAACCCTTTTTGTATTCCTCATTATATAAATCATATACATATTTTGTTCGGGTACTGTTATTTTGATACTTCCACTTAATGGTTTAGCGTGATTTTCCCTCTCTCAAACCCATGATTTTGTTTCACATTGGAATATTTCAAAACAAGAAAAAAATTGATATAGTTGTAATTCAAA